CTTTCTATTTCTTTGGTATACATAAATTGGGTTTACACTTTTCCAATCATCCTCATACATTTCTATTCATCCCATAAACAGTGTAATTAAATACATGGCATCATTAGCATCCATAACATAAATTACATAATAGGAGAATTACACATTGAATAATAATATCATTTATTAACGTCAATAATTCTCTACTTTCTTCTCCTTGCCTCTCGTGTCATTATTGCCCACCGTTGATTGACCTAAATAGTTGGTTAGGGAGGGGTGAGATTTGGGAGAATCTCAGTAGCAAACACTACCCATAAGCATGCAAGACATAATGTATATGCATGACATGTTGTAACATTAACACATGAATGCCATGGAAAGTAAGCTAAAGCATTTCATGCTTTCATAACATATTGCCAAGGCAAAACATAACATAAACTTCCAAACATAAATTTGCAAACATTTCATCATAGCTTAGTCATATCATGGCAATACAACCACATCATGCAAGCATAAATATCAAGCACACAGTATAGGTAAGTTCACTACCTTGTAACATAGCTTTCCTCTTGCTTTTCCTTTGATTCCTTTGTCTTTTCAACCCTATGGATTTTCAATCAACACCATTAAACATCCTCTTGGATGTTCCAAGATCCTAAACACATCAATACATGATGCAAAATAATTATTAGAATCAAATCATCAACTTATCTCTACTTGATTCTTTCTTGAACATACTTGAACTCTAACTTTTGAGTTTCAATTCCAACCTTCCTAAAATTATTTCCACATATTATCCCCACATAATTTTGCATGTAGAATCCATTTCCAAACTCAAAACAATCAAAATTAAATCCTAACCATTTAGAGCAGTCAAGGCTGAATAGAATCATAAACTAAGGGAAAGTTAGATTTTTTGCAAAATCAACACAGAACCACTTGATTCTTGTTGTTTCCAAGCCTTTAAACATGTTTTTAACACCCATATCATCTTCTCCTATTCCAATAAATTGCGTGCAGCACCTCCCTATAGGATTTCAATAATTAAAAATCCAATCAAACCATCCACCAGGCTTAAAAATAACAAGGGAGGTAGAAACTACATCAAAAATGACACACATACCTTGTTTTAGAGCTTGATCTGGCTTGGAACCACTTGGCCTTTCTTTCTCCCTCTTCTTTCTCTCTCTAGAAACTATTTGGCAAGAGCTTCCCCAAGGTTTCCATGGCTTAGGATGAAATGAGAGGGAGGGGAGGGGTATTTATAGAAAACAAGACTGAATCTCGACCATTGATCTTAAAAATATGTGGCTTGATCTAGACCGTCCATTTTCTCTTTTTATCTTGTGATGACATGTGTCCTATGACATCATGCTTACCTCATCTTGATGACATCATACTTACATCATCAAGCCACATGTCTTTAATCCAACTGCACACGTGTCTTGCATCCGACCGTACACGTGTCTTATATCCAATCGTACACATAATACCTTCGTTTCCCATATAACCGTACACTTGTCACTTTCATATTCCTTCATCATTTTGGCATTAAAATAGGGAGGAAATTAATATAAAATTCGTCCAAAATATAGCCCTTAGGCATTCATCTACCTATTTTGCCATTCTGGACCATATCGAGTACTTTTTTGAGTCCTGACTTACCCGGTACCACTGGGACATGTTCTGGCATTATTTTCTCATCTTAATGAAGTACATATATGGCACCATCTTAGAGAAGCATAGATGAAAATAATTAGCTCTATTGACAGGCTATTTAACCTTGCTGAGTCATGCAGCAGAGATTTCACTATAACAAGTAGACAAAGGACTGTCTAAAATTTTCCTGTACTGCGTTCTGATTTTTATGCTGCCTATAAATATCTTTTGCTGACTCAGCATGATGACTCAACGATGTCATGATTGCATTTGGTGACTTAGCATGCTGACTCAGTGCCGTCATGATGGTCTTTAGATATTTTCTTTCTCCTTTTCCCAGAAATATTATTAAATAATACTTAATCAGGGTTACCTTCTCCAAATTCTTTCTATCGGCTCGTAACTCCGTTAATCTGTCTCTGGGTTTCATTCTTTCCCTTTTATCACGGGAAATTCCTCTAATTTTTCTCGGGTCAAAAGAAACTGTAGACAGCTATTTTGACTTTCCTCGGATATGGTATAAATAGGCTTTAAATTTAATTAAAACTAACCTTGTCAGTTTCTGGAGACGGAATTAATTTTACAATCTGTGTAAATTCCTCAACTACTGTTCCCCAGTTTTTCCTGATTTTTGATGCCGTCTCATAGCTTAAATAATTCAATTTAAGCTACTATCTCAAATTGCCCAAAACCCTGGAATAACTTCAGGGCATTTCCGTCATTTCTAACCTTATATCGGCTCTGAGATCCTGTTCCCATTTTTTTTGGAATTTTTCTAAGTCATTTGGGCCATTTTCGATAACTTTGAACATTGGCCAACCAGAACTTTTATTATTTACAATTAGATCCCTACTTGGCCTAGGAATCTTTTCTTTGCAATTTAGTCCCTCTTTAGGCCTAACCTTCAGAACCATCTCTTGCAAGTTTCTGGCATAACTTCTGGCCCTTAGTTGTTTCCAGTTCATCATTCTTTAGTCCCTGAACATTATTGTTTTACACATTTGCCCTTGAAAAATCTCTTTTTCCTTCTAAGGGATCTTCGGGACTTTCATTATGTTGGACTTAATAATCATTCTTTCCTTGTGCTATTACTTGTATCTATGAGCCAAAATTTGGGATGTTACATCAGAGCTCTTCTAGTCACATTTTATTAGATGAGGGTGGTTTAGAGATGCTTCATGGATGGGGTATAATCATTTACAAGTTTCAGAAGTCAAGGAAGCATTTCTGTCAATGTCTTATTTGCGGACCCGGATCTACACTCATGGAGTTTCTATGGACAAGCAGGAGAAAGCTTGGATTAATTTTCATTTCCAACTGTTTGAGAGCCTCCTTGTTTTGGATTCATAATTCTGAATTATTTAAGATGAGAATCATCCGAATCTGCACATTATTTGGGTTGAAAGTGTCTCCTTTGATGTCACAGTCTCCTTTGATATTGCAGTTGCTCATCAAAATGAAGCTTTATCATTCACATGGAAGGAAATTCTGGTTCTTCATCATGATTTTCATGTTTTTCCTTTTAAGCAAATTTCTCCTGATGTATTTTCTTGTTTTCTAGGACATAGTTTAAGTTCCTTATGCATTAGTACTTTGTAAATTTTAAAGCTTTTAATATATCTCATTTTGTCTTTTATAAAAAAAACCCTAATATTATTTTTACAAGAAAAATCAAATATGATGATGAAATATTATCGGTTTTGCATGGTACATGGGTAATCTGCATCATTCTTTATTTAAAAAAAAAGCACGTTATATATAATAGAAAATTTTTATGAAAATTATAAATTCTTAACTCTTAAACTTTGATAAGAGAGTATTAATCCGTATCACATGAATTTTTTGTGGAAATAATTTTAACGTTCATTTAATTTCATGATGTCAACATCATTGAATGCACTAAAAGATAATAAACTCACCAATATGAAAGCTTATCTGCAGATTCTTTTTATATCTGTCTCCACTAAAAGGAATAGTTCACCAAAAATTAAAAAAAAAAATAAAAGGACTAGAACAAGTGGGGAAATATAGAAGGTGAATAAAGTTCAATTTTCCACATGAAGGAATTTAATGCAAAAACAAAAGTCAAGGGATAAATTGACTCGTCTAGCTAGTTTAATGTATCTGGAAATATCAATTTGTATCAAAAGATGTTGGTCTTGGTTAAAAAAAAAATTATGACCCGTTAATTATAAGATCTCAAGTTAATTCTGTATAAATGTAAAAAATGCCTTTGGGGGCTAGTCTTTTCCTAATTGAATTTCTTTTGCCAATCTTTTCCTGATTGAGTTAGACTATGATCAAATGAGCCAGTAATAATAATGGGATATCGTATATGTATATACGAGGAATATCAATTTATATATATATTTTTATTTTTTGAATATTATATTTGATTTTCTCTAATAAACGTATGAGTTTGCTGGTTAACCAATACAAATTTGAATGAGATGTGAACCGAAAAATATAACTTGCAGGTGAAAATCTAACTTGGTAGTTTTTTAGTCCTTAATATAAGACCTATTTAACTAATTTGATTAAATTAATAAAGTTAAGTAAGTTAGTTAATTATAAGCAATATGACATGTTTTTACTAAAACACCATAATCATCTTTCTTAATATCATTTCTTATTCACTTACTTGATTATGGTTGAGGAAGTATGTATAGGGGTAATTTAGAAAAAAATTGATTAAATATGACAAATAGGTCTTTTTAGGACCAAAATTAACTTAACAATTAGATCCTATATTAAAGACTATAGGAGTATTTTTTTTTGTGTAAAAATGAAAATTCTCTTTAATAATTATTTGTTGCCAGTCAAACTAAGCAACTCAAATTTAGACGGAGGCGGAGCAGAGAAGATTGCTCATGTGTATTAATGAATAGTAGAAGCTCAATTGACGTTCACGTCAATTGCCGCCAGTGTTGGGTTGGAGACCTTATATTGCAAAAGAATTAAACTTGGACAAATGCTAGGGTAAATTAGTATCTAATACTCTGTTTTTATTTCATTCAATATTAATTTTATTTATAGTACATCAAGCATCCTGATTTTATTTGTCTACACTCTAATCTTATTTATATATAGCGCATCCAGCATCTTAATAAACCATAAATAAAATTAGGATACTGGATATAATATGAAAATAATATCAAAAGGTGTTGAGTGTATCAGGAAAATAACATCAACGTATTAAATGCGTTATAAATAAAATTAGGATATTAGATATTATTGAGAAATAACATCATGGTATAAGACGTTACTTTGCCCGAAATACATATACTCAGAAGCGTAGGGGGGATGACGAAAGTTAACGTAAAAGAAGGGAAAAGATCAATAAAGAAAACCATCCAAGTATATAAAATTCAAGGTTGAGAATTTATTTATACCTTAGGAATACGAGTACACAGATAAGGTAGACATGCAGAGAATGCATGGCGTCTTATTACACAGTTCTTTATTAATAGGTAGGAATTATAAGAAAACAAGGCGCAACTAACTAATATAACTGCTTATTCATGGGCAGAAGACAATCTTGTAGTTGGTTCCTCCTGGACAACTATGATTCTTGGAATTGTCGGCAGGATAAAGGTAAGCATCCGGGCACTTATCAGCAGGACATTGAAGGGAAAGGCTACAGCCATTAGAGGTTGGGCTGAACTCCATGGGAATATTGAAACCATCAATCACTGAGATATCGTAAAAGTCCAAATTGTTGGGCTGGTTAAGGGAGAATTCTGCAAGTGTAGCTGGTGGTGCCCCAGAGAGTTGGCATTGGAGCACACCTCCACAATCGCCTGTGTCACAATGTCCATGACCCGACCCGTCGAAGTTGCAGCCAGTTCGACCCCATATCCGAGCGTTGGCGGTGCCGGGTGCCACCTGAAGGGACCACGTCTCACCGGGATTCAGCTGCTGGCCACCACCGGTAGGCAAGGAGGCCGGCCACACCGTGTAGGAGCATTTGTTGGTTATCTCAAACGTGGCTGCTTCACTAAAAGTGAAGCTAAGAGCCAGAAGGAGGGAGAAAACAAAAAGGCTTTTGAAGGGTGTCATTTTTTGGAGGTAACTAAGATTATGTAGTGATATTGCTTTTGTGATGGTGAGGGATAGCAATAATATTAATGGGTATTTATAGCGTTCTGCGAGCTGTGGTGCCTTTGAAATTTAAACGATGATGGCATGAAATAAACGGAAGAGGGGACTAGTCGGCTTTGAAAATTCTCAGTTCTAGTCATGTTACGGGTCCACATGAAAGACACTAGTTGGTCAGTTTGGTCGAGTGGATAAGTCATTTGTGCATAAAATCCCATGTCCAAATTGACTATATTGGGCTTGACTTGGAAAAAGATCGCGATTCGCGAACGCTCTTGGCTTGGATTTGAATAATCCACACTTTTTTCTAATTAAAAATAATAACTAATACTTTTTGCTGTGAAATATTATATTCTGTTTAGGATTAATTTTTGTACTTAATTAATCATAGATCTATTAATGTGTGTATGAGTTTTTTTTTTATTATGTGGGAAGGGTTCTGTTTATGTTTAATTAGCTTTCACAACATATCTAATTTTAACATTTGAACCAGTTTCATATAATTAATTTTCGTTGTTAAGTAATTAATAATGTAAAAAAAAATAAGGCCCCCTTAACAGACGGCGTAATCATCTCCGACAAGTTAATGCATAAGCCAACGTTGTCAAGCTCAAAACTATCTAGGGAAAATTATTATTAGACCCCACCCAAAGGAATTAAATACAAAAAAGTCTCTTAAAATTATGAAATTATTCTAAAATCCCAAGGGACCTTATTGTAATAAATTTTATTTGTTTAATTATCAAATTATTTTTTTTTAAAGTTTGTATTGACAACTGAAATAGCAGTGGTTGACAACTTAAGGTATAATGATTGACAACCAACGCGACAGGCATTGACAACTCATGCATTACATTTTGTGATGTGCTGAGAAAATGTGTTGTCAATACTTGTCACGATAGTTGTCAATCCTTATGCCTTAAGTTGCCAACGACTACTCTTTAAGTTGTCAATACAAACTTTAAAAAAATAATAAGAGTAATTTGGTAATTAAACAAATAAAATTTATTGCAAAAAAGTTTCTTGAGACTTTAGAATAATTTCATAATTTTAAAGGACCTTTTTGTATTTAATTCCCTTAGAAGGGACCTAATTGTAATTTTCCCAACTATCTATCCCCCGGCGGCTCTTTCTTTTTGTCCTTTTCAAAATATCAAAAATTAAAAATAAAAAAATAATATTAAGCACTTTTAGTGGCATCTAGAGAATGCCACATCGTTTTTTAAACTTCTTTGCACAACTATATATTTGGCCTACCAATGCTTTTCATTTACAATTATAGTATATTTGGATAGAAACCAAATCATGGTTTCAAAAGTGTTTTTACGATTTACGAAATAAATATGTGGAGAAATTTGCCTCATTTTGCGGAAAAAATGCTTCTCAGAAGCACTTTTCAAGGTTTCCAAACACCCTTTATATATTTTATTTAACCTAAGTTTTGATTAATATTTTATGCACAAGAAGACACTATAACTCAGATAACTTTGACCCAAAATCTATCATGAACTTGTCTTCTAGTCATGAACCTATCTGTAAAAGTCTACGGTAGACACAATCATCAATAAGATAAGAGGGACCCGCTAGATGTCTATCTTATATCACCATCTACTTTTATTTTATTAAAATAGTTTGTCGTATTATGTATTTCATTTTCTTGTAATGATTAAAGTAGTTGTAATTATTAAAAGTGATAGGCACAGAACGTGTCGTCTTTCTCCTGCCACGTGGCCTCTCTTTGTTACCATTTCAAGCCAAAAGGGCTAATAGTTTGATCCGATGCTCTACAGTAGTAGAAATAATAAGGGTAACATATTTCCCTTAAACAAGGATGAGACATCCTTGAGTAGATATTCTTTTTTTTTTTTGGTCAAAATAAAACTAACTTTCATTCAAAAAGCCGTTAGCCCATTCCCTGTTTACAACCAGTCTTATCAGCAAAAAAAAGGAGCAGAAAGAGGGGATGGGGGACAGCAGACCCAACCAAAAGAACTCATCTCCTTACAACCTAACTTGGCTAGCCAATCTGCTACCAAATTACAAGTCTTAGGAACAAAATTAATGCTGTCCTCTTTGCAAGTGTCAAACAAAATTCTTAACTCATTGATCAAACTATGTACTCGCCAATTTGGACAAGAAACCATTCCAGAAATAGCTTGAACTAACAGACAATTTGATTCCACTTGAACCCTTCAAACACCCTATCTTTGCACCGAAACACAACTGAGTGCAAAGCGTCAGTTTCACTTCTAAAAGCTGAGGTACCTTTCCCAGAACCACAAGACGGATCAACCACCTGTCCTTGAGAGTTGCGCAAAACATAGCCAAAGCCACTCTTTCCTGTATCAATCAAATAAGAACCATCAACATTATGTTTTAAAACGTTGAAGCAAGTAGAAGTCTAAGCACAAGGCTCAGGCTCACGAGAAACATGGTGGCAGATAGTTTTAAACCAATCATGAGCACACCAAACTTCATTAACAGCTACAGAAGGAGATTAGAGAGCCCAATCCAAGTCAGTAATCTTGTGCTCAAACACCTCAGTAGGATTAGAAAACCCAAGGCCAAACTTCATTGCTCAAACACTTTTGTAAATGCACGCTTTGTCAATCGTAATATTGCATTTGACGCGGGAAAATGGGTCAGTCTAGTTCTTGATGGGCTTGAGCTTAAACAGGTCGAGTCCAAAAGACTCTTTTTTTTTTGGTTGAAAGAATGCATTTTGCAAAGCTCGACCCTCACATGGGTGGGTTTAGGCCAGTAAGAGGGCTTTTAAGCCCCTTTACAAGATTTTAGAATTTTTTTTTTATAAACACTATAAAAATATATATGATTAATAATGAAATTTTTGTTTAACGACAAAATTAAATTAGAGACAATATTTGTTTCTTGTCAGTTGAGCTACAATAGACACGACTTTTAACGCAAAGCTCACTTCAACATTAGTTTAATTTATAATCATAAATTGATGTGCTCCTATAAATTCATTTGTCGATTTTAAATTTCTATCATATATTATATATTTCAATATATTGTATATATAATAGAATTATTTCTTTCTCATATTAATTTGTATAATAAAATTATTAATATTCTTACCATATTTGTTTAATTATTATTAAGAGTTAAGGGGAAAAAATACCCACAAACTTTTCTTAAAAGTGCGTCTAATACCATATATCCCCAGTACAAATCTACCAATACAAATTTAAAATAGGTGCAAAAATATTAACTCCCTTAAAACAACATTATGGCAGTTTATTTGGATGGTGGGGTCCACGTAATTTTTAGGAAAAACAAATACGGGAGTCCTTATAATTTTACTTGATTTTGAATTAGATCCTTACGGTTTATTTTCTTTTTATTGGATCTTTAGAGTTTTTTTACTTTAATTATTAGTCCTTTTGCTCACGTTCTGTTTGCTACTCCAAATGGCGTTTGTTTATGTTTGGAAAGGTAACTGCCACGTGGTCGAGCAAAATAGTTTAGTTTCTAATAATTCTCAAAACCATTTTTTTTCCGACGGCATGTGATGCTGCGCAAGCTCCTTGCCTTTGACAGTATTCCCAACTGGTTCTTGCAGGGGGAAACCAACCTTGACTAGTTTTCTCCACCTTTAACCAGTGTCATCACTATTGATTGTGCTTATGAAATGGTGTTTTGACCGTGCTTTTCTTTTCATCATTGTTGCAAAAGGGGACCAAGCTTCTCATGGGGAGAAAATTCACGAGAGATGACGCATACCTAAGAAAAATAGGAAATCCTCTTCTTGTCTACCGTTACGAGTTACACACAAGCCTCACAACTCTTCTTCGTTATTGTTTCCAAAGCGTCCAAAAGCAGGGCCAAACAGAGCAAAAGCTTCGCAGCAGCAGCATTTTGGACGACCACAGAGCCAAGCAGAGACGAAGATGGATTTATTGGCGAAAGCAAAGTCCACCTATAACAACACTAATAGGAACATGAATCTTTCAGTGGTCTTCTTCTCTGAGGACGATTCTGTCGTTGCCGACAAACCCAAGCATTTTTCTTCCCTCCAATCACTCGGATCCTCCTTCAAAAGAAGTTGGGGCTATCTTCTCTGTGCAAAATCTAGCATAGAGAACTATTAAAAGCAAGGAAGTTGCGGAGTATCAAGTATGCCATCGGAAAGAAAATCGGTTTCGAAGACTATTGAAAACTAAATTCTTCTGCTTCACCATGTGGCCGTCCCCTCTCCCACAAACAAATACCGTTTAGAATGGCAAACAGAATATGAGCAGAAGGACTAATAACTAAAGTGAAAAAATTCTAAGGATCTAATAAAAAGAAAATAAATTATAATGACCTAATTCAAAATTAAGTAAAAGTATAAGGACTCCCGTATATGTTTTCCCTAATGTTTATGAAAGTACTAGAATGGACTCAATCAAAATAAAAACAAAAAAAAGCCTCCCACCCTCTCCTTCCCCACCCTCTCCAATTCATCCGACTCTGGATACATAGGAACCCCACCCAGAAAGAAAATAAAGAGTGAAAGGGGTACAATCACCCTTCAAAACTCATAAATGGATTATCAATTGATATACCAAATATGAAGATAAACCATAGACACACAAAGAACCTGCAGAAAGTGAACTGCATCATTCTTTAAAGGGAAAGAAAAAGTGAATTACGAAGTTCAAAAGGAGAAATGAAGAGATGGAGATAACATAGGAGCCAACAAAACACCAACGTTTCTCCAGCCCATTTAGTGAATTCAGCCTCTACTTAAATCCTTCACCATTAATGATTCAACCTTTGACAATGAATACTTGAACCCAAACCAAAACAGTTCATTGATCGAGAGAAGGAGGAGAAGGAGAAGGCGGGAATTGTACCTCCAAAAAGAAGGAAGAGAAAGAGTTGGCTCATGGAGGTCACGGTTACGCTATTGGGATTTCATATCGTTGGGACGCAATAGCAGCAGTTAGGCTGTGTTCTTCGACCTTTGGCGAAAATTGCAGAGGTCATGGTTCTACCGTCTTGATCTCACTATCGCAGTTGACGTTCTACCGTCTCAGATCTCGCCATCGTTGTCGGCGTTCTGCCATCTCAGACCTAGCAATTGTTGTCAGTGTTCTGCCATCTCAGACCCTGCCGTCGTCATCAGCATTCTATCATCTTAGACCTCACCGTCGTTGTCGACGTTCTGCCGATCAGAGTGAGGCATAGTTGCTCTGTGATTAGAGATGTTGGAGAGCATAGGGCTCTTTTTTCTTTCTTTTTTTCCTTTTTTGGGGCCAATGAATCGAGAGGTTGGAGATCCGACGACATGTTTTTTTAGTTGGGGTATTGTTGTACTTTCATAAAAAATATTGTAGGCCCCACCATTAAAATAATCGGCTGTTGGCATGTTTTAGCCGTGATGATATTTTTGCACCTATTTTAAATTTGTATTGGTGGATTTATATAGAAGAAAAGTACATAGTGTTAGAGGTACTTTTGAAAAAAGTTGATGGATATTTTTACACTTTAACATCATTACTAATGAAACACAAAACAAGTTTTTTAAGAAATTATCTTTCTGTCTTAGCATGTATTTAATGATATATCAATTTATTTTATAATTAAAAATATGTGTAAATCATTATATTCTTAATTATGTTATTATATAAATTGTTATAGGATTATAATCTAAAATCATGAAATTTAAAATTAGTGATAGATTAATAACGAAATTGTGATAGAATAGACTTAGTAACATAATTAGTTATCAAAATTTTCGTGACAATTAAATCAGTGACAAAAATTAGTGATAAAATTTTTCTGTTGTTAATTCCATCACTAAAAAATTTATAATTAAAATTAGAAACAGAATTAGTGAAAAAATTTCTGACGAAAAACTTTTATCATTAATTTTGTAGCTAAGAATTTACTGATGAATTTTTTGAAGGAAAAAATTCAATCCAAAAATTTATCAGTAAATTTTTAGCGATGGAATTTTCATCAATAACCCATCAGAAATTAGTAATGGAATAATTTTTATCACTAATTTCGTTGGTAATTAACTGTTTTTTTGTAGTGATATTTTGATATGGATAAAAGTGAAATAATAAACCTCAAAAATTCATCCTTCAAACAATAAATATTAGTAAAACAAAATGCCAAATTATTGCTCAAATTTTCAAAACTAAACCGAATCAAGCCATTATCTTAAACATTGATAAGCTATTATCCAGAATTAAATAAATCAAACAAAGCACAAACTAAATATTAAACAATAGCAACATTATCAACATAATATTCACCACTATCTTCAATATGAATAGTATTTGATTGTGCTTCATTATAAATAGGCTTTTCTTTCGTGGCTAAAATATCAAAGACTTTCATTTTCAAATAAAATTTACTTTCAAATTTTGCAGTCTAATTATTATTTTGATTTAATTTTAAATATATTATTGCTCAAACTCTTAAACTTATAATTCAAATTATAGAATCATAAGTTATATAAGTGTCAAAATACTATCTTATTAATTACATAGTTTTAAAAAAAATTAACACATGTAATATAAATCAAATCATTATCTAAAGTCCAAATTAGTTCAATTGAATAAATCATTATCTAAAACCAAATAAATCAAATTGTTTTATGAAATTCAAGTTAAAAAATCATAATAATTAAATGTTTGCAACTTTATTAACAATGTTAAAAAAAATAGTATTAACATTGTATAAATAAATTTTAAGAAATAAAAAGGGCCTATACGGCCACCCATTTAGGCTGGCTCATATAGGCCTGTTTACAACTTGAAAGATAAAATTTTAGGGGGAAAAAAACCAAAAAAGACCCCTAAATTAGCAAAATAGCCAAATGCACATCTAAATAAGCTTAATTGTTTGGAAGGACTGAGTTTTAAATTGTAGTTATGAAATCAAGCCAAAAAGATGAAAACAACCCTCCTTTTTCTCTTTCTTTTGTCACCCATTCTCCTTCTCAAACCTTCCTTCTTCTCTTTCTCTTTCTCCCCCTTTCTTCTCCGCTTGCGATGAAGGAAGCTTAATTAGAGATTTCAAAACCCTATGAGATGTTAATGGGTTTTCTTATTAGAATTCAAGCAATTATTACTTTGCTTTAGAAGCAAAGTTTTAAGCTTTACTTATGGGTTTACTGTTCATTTCAATTTAACTTTGCTGTTCTTTCTCTTTCTTCCTATTGCATCGATTGGTTGCGACAAGAACCCCATGAAAAGAAGCATGAGAACTTGCAATTTTTTGGTATTGATCTTATAAATCTCAAGCATCCTATATCCCATGGGGAAAAACAGCTTTATGAGTGCTTTAATGATGGGGAGTTTATCACGAGAATAGAGGAAGATGTTGGCTCTACTAGAAGGCAAGATATGATTATTTGTGAAATGAAAGTGTTGAGACATTTTTCATGGGAACTAATGGTTTGAATAAAGAATAGAAGGAAATGGAAAAGTTAAATAAGATAGTGAAAGGAACTAAAAAGCTTGTTGGCAATGGCTCAATTCCTTTGAACTTCGAATTAGATGAAAACCAGAATGGAAGCAAAAAATGGTTACTGTCAAACACATACTAGTTTTTTGTTATGTCATATACCGTTGTTATAATTTCCCATGGTAGTGTTGTAATTGTAGACTTATTACTATGATGGCAATAACATTACATGATGATCTGCAAAATGATGCTACTTTGTTGATATGCAGAACAATGAGTGCATTTCTATATTTATTAGTTCTTAATGGTAACCATGTAGATGTGCAACATTTTCTAAAGTGCATGTTAACTTTGTTCCATTTTTGTAGTCCAAAGTTGTAATTTTTCATTCACAAATTGTTACTTGACATACTACACTTGTCAATGGTCAATAAAAAGTAGAAATCATGCCATTTGCGAGAAAAACTTAACTTAATATGAAATGTCTTTCAAAACTTGTTATTTTTCTCACTATACTTGTAATTTTCCATTGAATGTGGGAAAAAAATGTCATTTTAACACAAAAACTTAACTTATTATAAAATGCTTATCATAACTTGTTATTTTCCTTATTAAACTTGTAATTTTCCATTCAAATGTGGTAAAAATGTCATTTTAACACAAACTTAACTTATTATGAAATGCTTGTCATAAGTTATTATCTTTCATACTACATTTGGCTAATCAAATATGGAAATAATCTCAATTCAAATTGAAACATTTAATAATCACAAATTCAACTATCATTTCAACAAATACTAATTTATTTGAGATAATGTATGATTTACTTTTCATGCCCTTCACAAAATATAACACATCTAGGTTGTTACCATTAACAACTGATAAATATAAAATGAGGACATTGTTGTGCCCATCAACAAAATACTACAATTTTCAGATTATCATGTAATGTTACTGCCATTATAGTAATAAGTCCGTAGTTACAATACTACCATGAAAAATTATAACAATAGTATATAAAATAACAAAAAAACCAGTATGTGTCTAACAGCAATTATTTTTTGTAATATTTAGTGACAAGTGCACATTAAGATAGTTTATCCACTTAATATTCTCTTGTCACCAAACAGATTAAGTACTTGCAGTTGCTATTTGGTAAATCCTGGTCATTGCTGAGGTATCTAAGTTGGTATTTAACAAGGTCAGCAATGAAAATATTTCACAGCCAAATAACAAGAGGTAAGTTAAATAACAAGTTTGGTAAGCGAAATTACAAGCCTATGATTGGATTTCTGATAAAATTAAGTTTCATGAAAAATTGTTATTATTTTCATATTTCACTATCAAATGACAAGAACGGTAAACCAAATAACAAGAGTACTAAGTAAACTAACAATTCTGAGATTAGGTTTCTCATGAAATTAAATTTCATGAAAAGTTATTATTATTTTCATATTTCACTGCCAAATGATAAGAGTAGTAAGTCAAATAACAAATTTGCTGAGCAAAATTAGAAGTTTAAGACTCGGTTTCTCATTAACTTCAGAACATTAAATAGATCTATATTGTTACATTCAGAACTGATAAATACAAAATGTTAGCATTGTTTTGTCCATAAACAAAAAACCAACATTTTTAGATCATCATGTCATGTTGCTATCATCATAGTAACAAGTCTGCAGTTATAACACTACGAAATGAAATTACAATAATAGTAAGCTAAAAAACAAAATCAGAGGTACTTTGACAGCAACCAATTTTTGTAAGATTTAGTGATAAGTGCACTTCAAACTAACTACAACCTCCTCCAACTAACATCTTCTAACACTAACTTCACATCTCATTCTTTTTCACTGCATAACCCAGTGACGCACACCGCAACCCACCAAGATTACGCCATGCCAATCGTGAAGCATACTAGTAGTGTCTTGGGTAGATGAAATCTCATCCTCTCCAATATTGATTCTGTATACCATCTCCAAAGCACCATTGCTATTAACTTGAATCTAATTATTCTTGCCAACTAGCATTAATGATGGGTCACAAGTATTTTTGTAATAAAGATTGATGGGCATGGCCATAACCTCAATCCTATTGAGAAATGCGTAGGTAGCTAGATGATTGGTGTTGGGAGGAAGAGGAATAGAAGGACAGAGAGGGAGAGGGAGAGGGAGAGGAAGAGAAGGACACAGAGAGAGAGAGAGAGAGAGGGGGGGGGAGGAAGAAGAGAAGAAGGAAAGAGAAAGAGGTGGGATGATAAAAGAAAGAGAAGAAGAAGGGCTTTTTAGTCTTTTGGGCTTCATTCTATAATTACAATTTAAGATCCGGTTTTCCCAAACAATTTAATTTATTCATGTATGTATTTTGCTATTTTACTAATTTAGGGGTCTTTTTGCTGTTTTTTCACCATTTTAAGTGTAGTTCTCGGGATTTCTAGAGCTAAACAGGTTAGTCCAATGGATTGAGTCCATTCTATGGGCTGTAGCAGTATAAGCCTTTTTCTCATTAT